TTTCCCTCTATCATTCTTCCTCCAGAGTTTCCATACAAAGCTATGCTGCACAGTATCCCCAGGGATAAAAAAAAGGACATCCTTAAACTTTTCCAAATGTAGGTGTCCTACATCTCGGGTAAATCACCTAATACTCACTCTGAAGGACTGCATAAGTTTTCTTAACAGTTGTGTAAACTAACCCTTTCTAGCATCTACAACCATTTTTTCCAGCAGGAACTCTTCAGAAGTGGTATCTGAACTTACTAATAATAAACTGGTTTTAACAAACTTATGTGATCAATCTTATTGCTTACTCTAGTTACACTGACACACAACCTACCAAGAGATACAACAGAAGACTATTATGGCTATACAGTTATTTATATTGACCAAACCAAATAAATCACATTTCACCTTTTTCCACAGAACCTACTGTTTATTAGAGAGAATTATACTACTTTTTGATTTGGCTTTCATATCTGTCATTGCTTTGCCTTATAATAAGGTGTTTTATTTACTATGTGTTGGCATAACACTAGTTCTTATTTTCATCGTCTTAACCAGGAAATCAAGAGAGGACAGCACAGCATGGAAAGACACTCAAGTAGCCTGAAATGGAGCTGGGGCAGGTTACAGCCCCCTGATAGACATTAAAGACTCATTAATCGGAATTATTTCCTTGCACTTTGGGCACAGTAAGTCCATAAAACCTGAGTTTGTCTCCCCCACCTCTAATGCAGTAGCAAAATACTGAACAATATTCAAAGGTTAAATTCCCACCAACTTTAAGAAAATAAGCACTTGGGTAAAAATGAATTTCCCTACTACAGGAGAAGCAACAGCACAAACAGTATCCTATGTAGAAAATGAAGTCCAGGGAAGGGGATGAGAAAGACTGAGATGCTATAGCTGCTCCTTCCTCAGGAAAAGGTTTGATCAAAACTCTTATGTTCTTGGATCCCATGGAACTCAGCTGTCACCTAAGCTAGAAGAGGCCAAGTTTCCATAGTTCAGCGACTCATGGAAATGGTTTGTGTTCCAGTTTCAAGGGATGGTGATAAACTTCTGGTCTCAACCACAGCTCCTGTAACCTTGTGAGTTACAGACCAGAATACTGCACCTAAAGAACTTACTACTTCAGCCACTGAGCCAAAGTAATTCAGACTTATTTCTAAGCTTATTGATGATTACCTCTTGTGCTTTTTCATGTCTATGTCCCATCTGTTCTGAAAGTACTGTTAGGAAATAAACAAGCTCATTAGCAGAGGTTGATGTGATTACCTTTCTATACTTGATGTCTACTTGTCAATCTAAAAAACAAGACCAGAGATTCAGAATACAGTTTCATGTCTCATTCCTATATCTCAGTATGATCTCAGGAAATGGGTATTAGTGGAAGTCTCACTGATGTAGAACGTGGCAGTTGAACTTAGGCTCAGAAGATAGATTTTTTCCTCCCCACCATCCCACTAACAACAGGCTGTCCTTTAATAAAAGAAGAATTGCGTGAGAAGACTGAAATATATACATTCCAAATTTTACCTCTTTTCCTTCTTCAATGAACTGGAAAATATTTAAGTTGTTATAAACTAAAAATACACAAAATGTTTCCTTAATCACTTAAAAGTCAAATATTGTGACTGAACGCTGCTTAGGACACTTATGGCTGGCTGTAGTGATGCGTAATGCCTCTTGAACCAAGCGCATCTCAGATGCCGACATGCAAAATCTAATCTCCTCACTTGTATAGAGAGTCACAAATGGTATGGTTTGAATGGAGGATAGATCCCATACATCTCACATTCTCAAAACTCTGCTACCCCACGTCAGACAGAGAGGTATCTAAAGAGATTAAAAAATGTGGACATTCAGAAAGACACAGCTATTACTCCTTAAGTATGCTTGTCATACATATATGTAACAAATTTACATATATATATATAGTAAGTATATATTTTATATATAGCTTTAGTATATGGATATGCACATACGTGTCTATAAAATCCTCTAACAGAGACTTCATCAGTTCTGAATACCTATTGTTTCACTTACACCTTCAAATACTGGCAAGAAATTATGCCTAATACAATCAGATTTAGCCTTTTGCAAGTGCTAGAAACACACTTCCAGGGTGTCGTTGGGCTCTACACAATTTGTGGTCAGAACGAGCAGTCCTGTGCCAGGAACCCTCCACCTTTCAGCAATGTCCTTAATCCATAATTTGTCATCTGGCTCCAGCTTCTCTCCTGCCTGGGCTCTCATCAGTTCTCTTTATGCATTATTTTGTTAGTAGAAGTAAACAGACCAAAAAAAAAAAATATGCAGAGCAAATTCAACTCATTTCTTTGTTGTACACTCCCACTTCTGGAATCCTAACCTACTCAGATGCCTGACCCATTAGCTAGTGCTATAGTAGTTCTGTAAAAAGGGGTAAAGCACTTCTGTTTCACATTTCAGTGAGTTAAGCAGGGAGAGTATTTGGCACTCCTCAACTAAGAAGCAGGTAACTCCTTTTTACCATATCTCACTTCAGATACACCATGGCCTTAAATCAAAACAGGCCATAATTTTTTGGAATCTCTCCCTAGGCCTTCATCATACTTCAGTGGACTTACTCATGCTGACTAACCTGCCACATGTATTTCCTCAGCCACAGTCTTTTTTCTGAAATACTAATTTTTAACAGGCTTCCCTACAGACTAATTTTTATCCAGTACTTATTTTCCCTGAAGGGCTAGCATTTTACCTAATTCACTGACACAATCAGCATAACTACTGCAAGTAGAACTCTGCAAACACCACTTAAAAGTATATTGTGCAAAACCATAATGTAGCGAAAAAAAATTCCTTTACAAGTCAGATCACATTCTCCGTATAGCCACATTTTTAGCACAATGTGTGAATATGGGTATAGATTTATCAAGCCGTTTTAAGTAAACACATTAACAGAAAAAGCTTAAGGGAATAGTGGTGGCCTTATATTTATAATAGTGATTTTCTTCTGTGAAGATAATGTGTTTTTTTCATCTTATTTTTGCAAAACCTCCTGTACTACTCATTCCAGTATTAAAGCAGAAATGAACACTTCATTACATAATCTTAACTATAGATATTATTGGCAAAAGGGAAGCAAAGTTCAACATACTACAAATATTTGAAAGGCATCAATCATATTTGCCAAAACAATTTATTTTATCAAGCCCAAAATATCTAACATAAGCGTTAGTCACTTGTACCAAATTTCATATGCTAAAAGAAACAGATTGTAGTAATCACCTTATCAAAAATTTACTGGCAGCTTATAAATATATTAAGCAGTAGTATTTCTCATATAAGGAAACATTCTGGGTTCAAAACCCAAGCAAATTAAAAGGGAATTCTCATAAATTACAGCACAGCAGTCTCCCCTTTCAGAAGCCTGAAGACTGTGTATCTCAAAGTATAGCTAACCATTAACAATTAGCTAACTGCAGAAAACACTTGCATGAGAAGTGCCTCACCTGGAGATCTCAGTAGACTGAGCTAAATTACAACATGTGAAAGGATCCTCCGACTGCCTTTCTCCTATGATGCTTCTTAACACTCTTTCTTCCATAACTTTTCAGACACTTGTTTAATCTCACAGGCCATCTGAATCCTAGTGAGGCTCTCACCACTGCAATTCAACACCTGTTCTCTCTTTCCTTACACGGCCGCCAACCATGTCTCCCTTACGTTACTTCAAAACACTGCTACCAGAAGCATCTTCTAATTGCCAACTTCTTCACAACCCTTCACTAGCATCCTTATTCTTCTGCAAGTTCTCCAATGTAATCCATTAGTCCCTCCAATAAGCAGGCCAACATCAGCTCTAGTTTTAGTCATATGTTCACCTTTGTTTGTCAATTAACACAGCCTCTGTTTATCCCTCCTCAAAACTAATCATCTACCATAGCGTGGACAGCAAACCCCTGAAAGGCAAGTACACAGCCAACTGTGATGACTGGTACTGACTGACCAGGAACCAGCTATCCACTCACCAGCTCTCACCCTCCAGTTTTACCTTGGGTTTCAGATGGTAAAACCTTCCATTCAGCCTTTGAGTTTTTTGCATAACAAGGCCCCATTCTCTCTGTCCTTGCACCGCCACCACTGCTGTGCAAATCTTAATAACAGGGCATGTAAGGTAGTTTCTGGAATATATGTCCCAGCGCTCCTGAAGCAGTCTCCATTACAGAAGATGAAGATGTAAGAAGTTAACATTTGAGATCAGGCTTATCACCCCCCCCATCACAAGCATGCACATATAGATGAAACCTCAGTTTACAAAATATCCGACAGTGCCATCTTTGAGACCGCGTAAACCAAATGCCTGGCAGGTGATGGAAAAAGCCTGTTTACACATGTGCACGCATGTATAGATGTATATATGCATTCCTTTTTAGTTAGTATTTTAGGCATGGTTATGGCTGACTCCACACTTTTCGTCCTACTGTTTGTATCTTTATGTGCACCAGAAACAATCAGCTTCAGTCCCAGCAGTTCTGTTAGTTTTTATCTCCTAGCATTTTCTAAAAGTGGCTCCTGGTGGCTTGTATAAATAAAAGCAGGATTTTACAGGAATAACAGATTTATAACTTTAATATGACTGCCCTCCTTCCTGCATTAAAGTCTACAGTACATGACAAATCAGGTTAAGCAAGCTGGTATCAAATCTGAAGCCAAAAACATTTTTGAGCCAAACCTTAATTCTCTGAAGAGCTTCAAGCTTATTTTCAAGATGTTAAATTATTGATAAGAAAAATCAATTCTTTCTCCAACTCAGACAATGTCATATATTCACAGCATATGCAGCAATAACTAAGGTAGCTTTTCGGTTTTATTAGCTTCACAACCCTTTAGAATTAAATGACCTACCTTTTCCTCATTAGAATCCAGATACAGTCACTATGGACAGCTTCACAACTATTAACTTCAGATGATAATAAAAGATTTGTCTGAAAACAGACTGTCAGTCAAAAAAACATGTGACAGACCAGCAAATTCCTAAGTTTATTTATTAAACTAGTATTATTTAACCAATACCATTAAACTCAGACACTTCAGGATATAAACTGAAATGCATTCCATTCTGACAACAAAATTTCCTCAAAGGATCTGAAATAATGAAACATATTCCATCTGAAGAGGCAATCAAAGAATAATCGCAAACAATCCTGGGAGAAAAGTAGGCAGATGGCAAGAACAGTTCTTTGTGAGAAATAACCTTCCTGAAACAAAAATATTGAATGTCTATGTGCATACTTTTGCTTAGACTTGTAGTTCCACAGATTTTATTAAGTTTCTCTCTCCTAGCATTTCCAGAGGATATATTGGGCCCAACAAAGGATAAAATGGTTTAATCATCTGTAAAAGTATCCCAACCGTTTTAGTACAAGATATATAAAAAAGGAAGGAGATAAAGTGATGTTACCAGTCTTTCCTGTTCTAAAGTAGAACAGCAGTAGTGAGTAAGCAATTATTTACAAAGGAGCAACAATCACCCTGATGCCCTATCCCCAAAATATCCCAACCATCAGTTTTAGGACTTCATGATGTCATATGATGAGTTAATGAAGAAGTCTCTCGAGGGGTTGATGATGTCCAGTTTAGTATATAACGTGTAAATATCTGATGACCTATACAGACAGAGGAGAAACAGGTTGGTTAGTTACTATGCTTCTCCCATTGGACACCTCAACCAATACACCCTTGTCTTATTATGCAAAGTAAGAGTCTTAGATAAAAATGAATAGCTGTGTGCACACAAACAGAAGTATCTTTTGTTCCCTGAATAGCCTACCAGTTAGGACACCCTCCAAGACTTATGTGCCAAATGCAAAAAATCTTGCTCCCAGTTCTCTGATGAGTGTCCCCAGAACACAGGCAAACCAGATTCTTTTCTGTAAGCAAAGTGAGCCAGCAACACTGCAACTCCAAAATGTTCCCGAATGAAACCATTCAGCCAAAAGAATGCAGTTGCAATTAACTTTTAAATCAGCAAATGCACATTTTTTTGATGAATAAAGCTTCTCTAAAAAAACCCTATTCAGTTCTAACATGAAACCCATAAAATCAGTAAGTAATAAATACCTGGTTTTCAGTCAGCCGCAATTCAAATGTGAGATACAATCTATAGCAAATATCCAGACAGGAAAACTATTTGAAAAACACACGAAAACCTCAAAATAAAGTGGAATTAATTTCGTTGTTGTAAATAACTCATTCTAAGCTTTGATTTCCATGGTACTGTTTCTGATCTAAGCAAATGAGAAATTCACTGTGGAAGTAAGCTTACCTAAGTGCTTTAGAGAGAGCTCACACGTCTAGGCAAAACACAGCCATTTGCAGAAGGTAAATAACAGATGTTATTTTTCCTTCTTCTTCTTACTCAACTACTATTGCATATGTTGCCTCCCTGCCCACAGAGCCTTCCCGATTTGCGCCGCACGCTGCGCCCCGGCCCTGAGGGGGTGAAGGAGCAGCAGGAGGAGTAGGAGCAGTGTGGGCGGCGAGGCCCCACAGCTCTCCCTGCCCCCTGACAGAGGTGCCCGCCCTGCGCGGCGGGACCCCGCGCTTTCTGCGGCGACGCACCGCAGCCCATCGAGCTAAACAGAAACCCCAACCACAGGGCCCCAGCTCGGGGGCGGGCAGCTCCACATGCCCCCCCCCCTCCGTAGGGGGTTACCGCGGGCGCGCAGGGACAGCGGAGCCCGTGGCGCTGCCCTGCTCACGTCCCGCCGCCTCAGGGGGCGGAGGACACCGCGGCGTGGGTCCCTGACCGGAGAACTGTGGCGTCTGTCTAGGAAGA